ATATGATATGTAAGTATTACATTATTCATTATATTTCGAGTAATTCATACCAAATTATCTGGTTTTTATTATTTATATTACAGTGTACCTACCTATCTATATAATATTATAATATATACCTATTACATATATATATATGTATATATGCAATAAAGCAAATATATTGTACTGTAGTACTATACCGCATGTACATATATAGTACTTATTATTTTTACATTCTTCTGGATAACGCACTCGTCTTACTAGCAAGCAGGGCCGGATTAAGATTTATAGTGCCCATAGGCTGTAAAAAATTTGGTGCCCCTATTTAAAAAAAATGTCTTTACACGATACTTGATTAAATAATAAAATATTATTTTAGGTTTATTAGCCACAATATGTACATGTATATAATATGTGAAAACAAGTAAAAACATAAAATTAAAATAAAATAAAATATATTTTAGATTTATAAAAATATAAAATAATCATATTATAAAAAATAACGAACCATTAATTTATACTTTTTCTTTTTTTTATTATTGATTACATAGATAATAAATATTAATATTGTAATAATATTATCTATGATTGATTATTACTATTTCAAATTTCCGATATATTTAAATAAAAATTTAAAATAACATCAGGATAGTATGCGGTGCCCGTGCCCCTAAATCTGTGGTTGTGTAGGCTGAAGCCTACACTGCTTACGCCTTAATCCGGGCCTGCTAGCAAGACTAAAAAAAAAATCATAACAATCGTAGGTAACACAAATTATTTTTAAATTAATATTTTTTTCCTCGCAAATAAACGAGTTATAGAAATATTGATTTTAATATAATAGTAGTAAGATCGTATATTGAACACAATTGTTCCTGCAGGAACTTGGGATATAAAACCGAGCTATATTTAGTATATTATATTATATTATACGTATTTCTTAGKAAGAATAAGGAGTACCTATGYTTAAGAGACTATTATGTTACCTATTATGTTTAATACAAATAAAATAGTTTGTCTCACTCAATGGTGTAATCATAATAATCGTTGACAACTGAAACACAATATAACATATATAAGTATAATAAGTATATACGTATATGCCCGTATGTTGTATGTACGTATCTTTATGAGGCTTAATTTATAGCCGATATCAGAATGTAATCATCAACCGATAAGCGCAAAATGTGATCCTAGCTTCACTCTATCTTTTTAAAACGAAACGTACTACTACAACAAAAATATTTGCTAAAATATTGGAAAAAGATAGACATAACTTTAATCAAAAATAATGTGGAGGAAAATGGGAACCAACTTTTTTTTTGTGGAGGAAAACGGTATCTCGATTTTTGAGGAAAAGGAAACCGCCCTCCAATGAAAAAGGTTGGTCGAGGGTGATTCTTTCGTTGACATATAGTAGGCAATCTAGGACTATTATGTGTTTTATTTTGAAAGRTTTGTTGCATTGAATGTTTTATGTTGTATATGTAGGTAAGATTGTTATGTCCGATTCTTGTTCTTGTATTAATTATTTCAGAACGTCTAGAGGCATTGACTGAGTTACCATTTAGTAATTTTCTTTTTTATTGATTTTAATTTGTTAGAGGTTGGTATTCTTAGCCTGTATTATAATAATATTATATTATATTAAAAAATAATTAAATTCCTGGTTACGCTATTGATTATATTATATATATATAATAAGAGTACACACCATCGCCGCAACTAGACGTTTTATAAAGGGGGTTGGTTAAGCTCCTGGTTTTTTGTGAGTTAACGGAACCTAACTATTAAAATTGTAATAGGGGTGCTTAACGCCCAAATCAAATCCCCTCCCCCTAGTTGCACCTATAGTACATAAACACACATTAAATTTCGTCGGAAATGAAATGAAGACATACGAAAACCATACACGACGTTTGCACTGTTTGCAGGATCACTTGCGGTGTGACAAAATAACTCGTTGAGGTCGTTGGACACGTCGTATTTGCAGTATAAGTTCACGCGTTATTCTTTGGATTTCCGCAAGCGTCTCGCGGTACATCATCCTGTGTATGGGGAACAAATCACCTTTTATACATATAACAATGTGTGTATAATAATWCTCGAACATAAAACAAATATAACAACGCGAACGTAAATCGATTAAGGCGCGCACGACTCTCCGCATTTTATACACATACATATACATACACACACACACACGCACACATACACATCGGTATTATTATATACGACGTTATATTATACACTGTTGACGATTTATACGATTTAGGTCCGTATTTTTTGTTATTTATTCGTTATATTATTATTATTATTATTTGATGAATGCAATATTAAACCGCGAGAGGAATCAACAAGACGAAAAACGCACCGGGTGACGCTCTCGCTGTTGTGGTGCTCGGGTGGCGGAAGGGGAGGAAGAGACGTGGCTGAATAATACAACACAAATGTCGTTGTTTCGCGGCGTTTTTTCTCTCCGCGCGTTCTGCATAATGTGGCGGTGGCGTGTCTTCCTCGTTTCGCGCTCGTGCGAGATTGATGCATCTGTCGCACATGTGCTGCTGTTGCGTGACTGACACACGCGCCCGTACACGACATCACCCGCTCTGGCACTCGGTCGCCGCCACCTACGCGCGGTCGTTTTCTTTCGTCCGCGTTATTACTTATTATTAAAATAATATGTAAAGCATGTTTTATTTTTCCCTTCAGGTTTTTCACTTTGGTTTGTTGCCGTTTTCTGCTCGGGTCCTTCTTTACACGTCGACCCTCTCTTTCTGCCTCCGCGCCCGTCTCCCTTCCACCAGTTTAGGCGGAATCGTCTAATCGCTTTTTGATACAGGATTAGTGTCTACTTCGTCATCTCATTAGCGCGATAAATTCATTTAATATTCGTTCACAGAGCTTTCGTGTCTGATCACGTTGATGTCACCGTATAGTCATACGTTTCTCCGTTACCTATACTCTTCATGTACGCGATAGTGCGACACACCACCCATCGAATCGAGATTATCGTAATAATAATTGGTGTATAGGTACACTGTACGGTTATGAAGTGCAGTACCCAGATGTTTATAGACTATAATATATCGTTTATATATAACTATCCAGTACCTAGGTAGTTACTGTATTGCGGTGCCCAAATGAAAAAACGTATACCCATACCCAGGTATATTAATATATAGATTATGTAGACGTAACTATATTATTGGATTAAATTTGTGTGGAATTTCCATGATATAGCTACGTATTATAATATATTGTTATTACTTATTATATATAACTACGAAATATGCATATATTATGTTTTATTAAACGTAGCATAAATGCATTTCTATTTACCGTTTTCGGTCAAATTATATTCCTCTGTGATGCAAATAATGTGTGTAAAACTGTAATATCAGTGTAATACACCCCGAAACCATTATATATTGAAATGTATAACGTTGGATGCCTAAACTTTTTGTTATTTTTAAAAAATTGTAATTTTTTAATAATCGATATACATTTTGCCTGGGTAAAGTTTCATCAAAAATAATAATAAAAACCGCAGTTTTCGAAAGTAGTCCATAATTTTTTTCCAATTTCTGTAACAATGCATATTATAATAAGTACCTACTATTCAAATTATTTTTGTATTCTTAATTTTTAATTTTATATCCATATTATACATATGTTTAATGTTTATACTTTACAGCCAATTGGTATTATACATAATATGCCAAATAAGGTACCTACCGAATGTTTATTTAAAACTAGAAATTGCGAGTGTTATCCAAGGATACTTTTTTTCTTGATTGAAACTATGAAAACTAGCTGTTGTGTTGTGTAAAGTGAAACTTATAATAATATTTTTTGCTAAAGCAGGACTGAATACTGAAATACTAGTTGAAAGTTCCATATTATGCTTCAAACGCGTATGTGGTAAAAATGATTCTATCATACTACTAATAGTATGTTATTATTTTATTGAACATTATATAAATTACCATATAGGTAGCTCAAATATTATATTTAGTTATAGTTAAAGTTCAAATAATAGATTATTTAGTTGACGGTTAAAGTAAAATCATTATGAATTATATTTAAATATATTATGTAAAACTGTTTTTGACATTGATACGCGATTGTAAATGTATTTTTCTTTTAATATTGTAAATTTTTGTGCAACATATTTATACAATATTATAGGTAATTAAATATTTTGTTTAATGATTCAATTTGGATTCAAGTAATAGCTAGTTTGCCTGCTCCAAAATTGTGCTTGAAAATCTTTTAGGTTTTTATTTTAAGTTAAAATAAATAATTATTATTCTTTTCAGATTGAAGTATTTTTTTCATAACTTAATATTATTTTAAATTTGTTGTATTTTAACTCAATTTTCATAAAATTTTATTATTTTATTTTTTCTGTGTAGTATTTTAAAAAGAATTAATTTGTCTTTGTTATTATGTAGGTTAGGTTAGGTTATCATCAGGAATTCAAAGAACAGTGAAAATTATTTTTGGAAAAACTTTTCTTTACTTTAAGTTTATTTATTGTAAAGTATAAATAATTAGGACACATTTATTTCTAACACGTAATTCTATTGTATAATATACATAAGAAATATATATTCAGTTATTATTTTGTGAATAAGTTCATAATTTCGTCAAGTTTCACCGGTGTTAATTTAAGTAAAAATATATTTATTCGGATAGTAAAATACTAAACGTATGTTTATATTAAACTGATTAAAGTATGTTTTACATTTCATTACGTTTGAAATTTTATTTCATATTTCTACACATTATTTTTTCAGTAGTTAAATTAAAAAAATGATTATTATATCATTATGCCTCGTCTGAAATGTATACAAAACACCTTAGTACCTAAGTATTCAGATATTCTATTATGCTTGGGTATTTGCTAGACAAATTTTTTAAGAAACCCTCGCCCAATGTCAATAACCATTTTAATTTTATAACATTGGAAATACTTGTAATAAGTACGTAAAAATATTTTTTTGTTGTTTCAGTGATTGCGGAAGATCCGGAGTTTACGGAACCCATAACGAACGTGACAGTACCTGCAGGACGTAGTGTAAAGCTAGGATGCTCCGTCAGAAATCTGGGATCATACAAGGTTTTATATATATTTTTTTCCATCGGAAATCGAATACGTGCTTAATATTACAGATAGGTACATGTATATATATATTTATATGATTTTACCTCGCTCTCTGAAACCAAAATCCATTATTTTGATTGAAGCCGGCGAGGAAAAAACACTCTCTTCACACAGTGTCACATTATCTGGATTTGCCGAATCAACTATGAGTATATACCTATGTTATTTTTCGGATGGAAAGTAATATTATTTCAATCAAATTTGCCACGATGAAAATACGAATTTCGTCACAAAAATGAAATACGAACGAGTTACGACCATTTTTCGCTTCTGTAATATTATTAAACATTATTTATTTTTTATATTTTCATTTATGTAGGTAGGTGCCCACCTAAAAACGTGATTATTTGAAGTAGATTCTAATAAATGACGTGCAATCCATTAAATCCTCGATTCGTTTATTTTAAATAATATTATTGTTTATTATATAGTATCAGCTATCAACACCAACGCGTTTTTAGAATACTTTTACGCTTACCGCTTACGTTATTATATTTATATTATTTTATTTTACGGACCGATTATTTTAAAACATTAATAACATATCATATTTGTACAATTGTACGTAAACAGTTTTGTTGAAGTTTATACGTACAATTTAATCTCTGGCTAGTTTTATAGACGTTAGTTAGGTACTTAGCTAGTTCTTTATATTCCACACGATCGGTGAACTATGTTTAGATTTCTTATCGCACAATGAAAACAATAAATTACATTAGTCGTCGGTTCTTCCGCGGCTTTTTCAGTTGTTAGTATTATGGTAAGTTTAAATGTTTGTTTTAACATTAAGTTTAATTAGTTTTTGTATTTTCTCTCGACGCCCGTCTCGAACCAGAGAGGCCTTATTTATTAACATTGTAGACTGTTGTAGTTGTAGAGATGGGAAAAAATAACTATTTTCATTTTTTTATTGCAGTGAGTTTAACGTGAATTCATTATAATATACTTTGGTGACTTTAGTGATACCGACTAACTAGAAATCCTTAGTTTATTAATTTGGTACGTTATGAATGCAATAAAATATTATTGAAAATATTATATATTATATCAATTTAAGTTTTATTTCACACGAATATCGATGTAGCTTAAAATATTCGAATCCGAATGAATGAGAGTTTTGTTTTATTGATATTAACTTAACTTACATAGATCAAAGAAATGAGTATGCATAAAAAACAATTAATACAATATCTGTGCATAATTATAATTTGTAAAATTTCTAAATGAAATTTAGAATTTTTTCTGCGTTCCGGTTATATGTACGAGTATTTTATTATTTCTATCAAATTTTATATATTTTGATGTATCTATAATTTTATCTTATTGTTAAATTATTAAACTTCGCAGTTATAAATTATTTTTTTTACTATAGTCATCAAGTACGCTTGTTTAAATACAATGTTGATAGAAATTATGACGTATTTACATGTCCAAAAACATCGCATCGTATTTTGTAGAATTTCAATTCAACCTATCTGTGTTAGCTGGTTAGTGGTATAAAAGGTAAATGTTATTCACAATAAATTATATTAGTATAAAATCGTTTCTGATTGCGTTGTATGTTTAATGTTTATATTGTTTTAGCCTGCTGTATACAAACTAACTATGTTATAGACAATATTCCCCAGACAAAAAAGTACCTAAGAAAGTCAGAATGGTTATAAATTAGTTTTTTTTTTCTGAACAAGTTCTATTATTATTCGAGTGTCTATTCTACATTAAATTCATAAAAACAACTTCTTAAAATAATATTTCAAAACTATATTATCAAGTATCGTGTAGTATAATAGCATGTATACATTTTTTAATACTTTTTGGTTTTTGGAAATTTTTAGTATGTCCAACCTTTGTCCTATGTTGTATTATTATACTTCAACATCTAACCTTCTCGAGGCCTTTGATCCCTAACATAAACACACTCATATTTATGTATGTATGAAAATTTTTCTCAAGTGTCACGTTACGGATGTTTGCATTTGAAAAAACTAAAGTCGGTATTATGCACAGACATGGTGAACATTTGAGGCGTGTGCCAGAAAAAGGGCAATTGGAGCTGTATAAGGGTGAAAAAAATCCGTTCAAAAATGCCAGAGGTATTCATTCTGTTTTGCACAGCTGTATAATTCTCGTCTAGCATAACGCACGTGTGTCGAATTTAAAGTTTACGAATACACCCTTTTTTTTTATAGGTAATCTCTTTACCACACGACTCAAATAACTAAGCGAACTCATACTGTGGCCATCAATTTTGATTTGAAATTATTTTCATTTTCTTGTACATTGATAAAACCCACCTTATGTGATTTGTGTTCGTTATATTTAAAGGCAGGTTAGTCTATTTAGTTTTAAACGTGATGCAGTGTAGGTACTGAACATCAAAACGATCGTTGAACCCAAATATTACACGGTGTATATAGAATTTACGGGTATATTGCTATGATACTAAACAAAACTGAGAATGTATATTTTATTGAAAATATATATATTTAACTTTTATTTAACTATCTTCGATTAATGCTATCTATAGCTTGTATAGCTATACCAATGTTTGCTATTTCAAAGTTACTCGTTTTATGTAATGAAGGTTTTGTGTAAAAGTAGGTATATCATCATTCATCAGTCTGTTAATTTCAAATACTTCAATTATTTGATTAATTAGAAACAATATATGTTTGTTTAATGGTATAATTTTTAATTATATTATAAATAGAGTATATGAATTTTTTATTTTTTATTTATTAATTTAATTGTGTCAATATTCCAGGTATTTTTACAATGTTAGGTACTATAATATACGATTAATATGATAACAATATTAGGTTTACAACAATTCTTACAATGATTTTTTTAAATTTTGGTTAGCTTATAACTCTAGGTCAGAATCTGAGATTGACGTGCCTTCTTTAGGTTCTAGAAGGATATCCTGTGGTAGCCGAGTTTTAAGTCATAGATTGGTAGATCTTTTGCCGRTTTTGAAGTGGAGTGCTCCGTCAACTTTGTGAAGTTTTTCACGGAAATCTTTAAATTGTTGTGTTAGCCTGCAGGTAGATATGTGTGGTAGGCCCGTATCATTGTGTAGTTGTTTGTATCTCATGAACCAAGGGGCTTTTAGTGCTATTCTTAAAAAATTATTTTGAAGTATTTGTAATTTTTTAATCTTTGTTTTTGAGTTAGCTGCCCAGCCAGGGCACGCGTAAGAATATGAATTAAAGTGCCCCAGTATGTACATGATGATACATGTAAACGGTTAAAATGTTAGTAAGTATAGGGTCATTTGCTTCCAGTTAAAAGTGCAATCTTAAGCCCATTTATAATATTACAAGTTTTATCAGAATATAATATATGATTTAATTTTTTGACGGTTAACCAAGGACTAAGGTTTTGTTGACAACATACTTTGTTTATCTAATTTATTTAACTATACTTTTCTTATGTTTGAATTTTTTAAGTTTTTTACTAGCGTTGGACAACTAACCGATTCAAAATCATAAAGGTTATGCAAAAGTTGCAATATTAAGGTAGAGAAGGGCACCACCTGAGAGTAATTGGCCAATTTCGCCGGTGTTGCCCCTCGTTTTTGATTATTATTTTTGGTAGCTGCAGGGCCGCGGGCGTTGAACATTAGTTTAACCAACCAATTTCTACCCTCTTTCACTTATTTTTATCTTAAGTACTACTCCTTTTACTCCATTGTAATAATGATAAGAGCCATAATAATAATAATAATAATTTATAGCAATAATAATTATAATGATGATAAAATAATAGTACTACAGACCAAATGTTTTTATCTTTATTTTTTCGGAATTGTAAAAGTTGAATCAACTTACTGAGTTTTACTTCTGGTCTGAGATGATTTATTAAAATACTATAGGGACTTAAAATAATAAAAAGTATCAGGAATACAATGGAAAAATACTAAATTTGACATCATGTGTACAATGTACAACAATCATGGTTTATATTTGTCAAAATATAAAATATTTCCGAAATAATTTTTGTATTTTGTATGGTATTATTTAGATTGATTTATTTTCGTCAATATGTGTCGTTAATTCGTTTCGTGAACATCTACTTGAGGGCTGCCTCAATAAATAATACATATGTGTCGGTAAAAAAAATCTTCCGTAAATCTCAATTCGTATATTTAAATCATATTTATTTAAATATTATATCGTTTGCCTTACAAAAATTACAATAATATGATTCGATACTTTAAAAATGAAAATAAGTGGACTATGCGGTGTAGTAAAGTAACTTTTTGATGAAAAATTTATGACTAATTCTTAATGTTCATAATATACAAATATATCAAAAAATGTATCCATTAAGTAGTACGTGTAAAAAAAATACAGATTGTTTTTAAAATTCATTTAACCAGATGATTGTTTTGAACTAATAGAGCTTATTCATATTGAAGTAAAAATTGATTAAATAAATATATACACTTTTTATAGCATTATATAGTTATAAAGTCACACATTTTCTTAGTAAAAAATAAAAATTGCTTTGAAAAAAAATACCAATTATTAACCATCTACTTTGTAGTAGGAGTCAAAATCCAAATATATACTACACTTTTTGATGTTAATAAAAAAAATAACAATAACTTATATGCCCTTTTTAATAAATGTATTAATTGTCTATATTTTATTTAAGCCAAATTAAATTTTGAAACATTTACGGTTTACTTATTTATTATATTCTAAATATATATTAAGTTAGTATAATAAGTATTGTAGACTATAGTTAGTTATTTTATTAAGTTTTGTATTAATATTAATATTCATTCTTCGTTATTTTTGAATACTTAACGTCGATATTTTTTTTAGTTTTTACTTTTGGAAAGTACTTTGTAGTAGAGTAAAATAGGTTAGAGAAGTTTTAGAGAAATTCTTGTTGTATGACAATCAGAAACAGTGATATGAGAAAGCACCATTTCGTTTTATCGAAACATGCATATCAATCTATAGGATCAACTATCAACTTAACAAAAAAAATGTTTCATGGCTATAGTTTTATCTAAATAAAATTACGAAAAATATGTGGGGACATCGATTTAATCTGCTTATGATGTATAAGGTCAGATTCTTCGATTGTTTTTTTTTTTATTTTCCAACATTTGATTTAAATAAATGTCTTGGTATACTTGCTAGTCTTGGTAGTATGTTCTAAGAAATTTTGTTTAGAAAAATAATATCTGATAATTATATCCTCGACATTTAATTTGATGTGGGTATTTATTTTCTTAATTTATAAAATATTTTCAATGTTTTCGTATAAAATACAGAAATATTACAAACATCCGAAAATTCAATTTTTTGAACTAAACACTATCCAATTAGAGACCAAGTAGGTAGCTTTTATGTATTAATGACAAAATTATATTATCTTTAATATAATTTTTACAAAATATAAATTTTTTAAGTGTTGATGGAAAAAATACGGATTTATTAATCTTGTAGAATATTACTGTTTAACCAAACCACAAAAGATGATTGGCACAAGTAATCGTGCTTCATCATAATATTATAGTTAGATATAATATTACGCCCTAATGATATGATATTATTATTTTTTTTTGAGCGACGCCTTTAAACTTTTGATTGTATACTTTCTGATGGACAATTATTTATCAGACAAATGTCATAACCTTATTAGATGAATGATATATCCTTTAAGGATAAAGAACAATTTTTTTTTGTATTAAAAGTGTCGCCGAAATGTTTTTGTCAAAAAAAACCTCTGCAATTACTAGCTGTAAAACGTCCACTTTTCAAAATCGGATTTCGATCAGTATCATACTGTCAATGTTACTTTTTCTTTTCTTAAAAGTAAAAAGATGCTGTATCATTCTTTTTTAAATGGCTGTTTACAAACGCTGCACTGAGACGGAAAATAATAATTACTTATGGTCGATGGCTTTGGAAGCGCATAATATACTATGCATAACACAACAACTATTTTAAACGTATCATAAAATATCGCTATAACTTATTTAAATTTAAATATTTTGATTTACAGGTAGCTTGGATGCACTTTGAACAGTCCGCCATATTGACTGTGAATAGCCACGTGATCACTAGAAATCCAAGAATTACCGTGTCTCACGATAAGCATCGTACGTGGTTTTTGCACATAAATAATGTACAGCAAGAAGATCGAGGCCGTTACATGTGTCAAATAAATACGATCACTGCTAAAACTCAAATAGGATATCTCAATGTTGTCGGTAAGTAATCGATAATGTAATAATTAATATTATTTTTATAATTTAATATTTAAAATATTTGAAATTAATATAAAATTGACTATGGCTACGATGTATAATTTTAAATCTTAAGTCTTAATACTGCTAATATTTAGTTACCTGTATTGTACTATGAAGATACTGGAACCAATATTTTTAGTATACTATTGCATTTTCATAAAATAATGTAGGTATGATGCTAATATTAATTATAACACGTATTTGTTACGCGGCCCATTCGCATAATAATAAAATATCAAGGAAAAAGTATTATTTATTAAGCTAGGTATTCAAATATTGGTAATCCTGTATAGTGCCGAATGAGAGCTGAATATTAAGCACTCAAATCCTAATTGATATATGAGTACACAGAAAACGAGTTTATGAGAGAAATAATTTTCCAAAGTTTGAAACATCATGGTCGTATATTATAATTGGATAAATATTGACTTGAGTTTTGTTGATTTGAAGGTCTTAATAACGAAGAAATATTAATATGAATATTAAATTCTTTGAGTACTAATGATATTTCATAAAATCTTCTTGTCTGATTCAAAATATATACTCGGATATACATACTATTGTTATACCTGCATAATATAATATAAATATATTATTTACTATAACATGTATTTTTTTTTAGCTCAAGACATTGTAAATACTCTTTATTTGTTTGTAACTATATGTATACATTATTTATGTAGATAGTAAATTTTGGTTCGATTGATGATGTCTCGATTATAACGTTGTGACTGACCAAATCATCAGATAAAATGCACCTACATAATATAAACATATGATTAGTCATGTTAACAGTTTAAATGACAAATGTAATTGAGACATCATCAATCGAACTGTTGACATGGCTAATCATATGTTTATATTATGTAGGTGCATTTTATCTGATGAATTGGTCAGTCACAAAGTTATATTAGTTGTAACTTATAATAATCCTACTAGCTATGAATTAAGTACCTACTGTGTGATTTATGATCGAGAATTCGAATATACTTTTATCATAATTATTGATTTGTGCTTACGAGTTTCATAATAGATATGGCACTAAAAAACATTAATTAATTAATACGATTAAATAATTGTAGCTTATAGGCTTATAAGAAACCATGGCTAGGTATATTTATTTTAATGTTACAAAAACACCCCTTAAAAATTTAATGTCACAGAAACAATAAAAAAAAATTAACTGTTCAAGATATAAATTATATTTTAATTAGGTTTATTTTTATTTGCGACTTTTACTTCACAATGATTCTATGGTGGTTAAACTGGTAGCTATGTATGAATCTTGGAAAGCATGTTATTTGCTATTAAAATCACGTCGTGGTCAAAATGGTTTGATTTCCAATTCCTTATATCCCTAGGTCAAACTTGACTCACGACAACGACGACCATGACAATATATTATAACAATACATATTTTACAATATAAATTATAATACGTCGTTATACATATGTAATTTATACTAAATGGTGCCTGGTATTCAGCATACKTAACACTTAAGTAGTTATACATTACTGTTGATTTTTTTTTATTCACTGTACACACGAAGACTGCAAATAAAAAATATAAAAAAATGTATACTTCATTTGTAAAATAATATACCAGTTGCATATGAATCATGATGATTATAGTAAAATCAAAAATATTTGGCACCCCTTATTGTCTGTACGATTGTAAGTAAGATTGCAATATCAATATATAATAACATGTAATACCTACGAAGTATTATTATATTATATAGCTATTATACAAATCGCCAACAGTCTGCCAGTGTATAAAACATGTGGTAGGTAAATTAATATTATTATCTATGCCGATTGTCAATGACGATGATGATGATGATAAAATAATAATAATGATTACTATTATTAATAAATAATGTCATCGTTGTTGGACGAAAACCCGGAACAAATGTACGACACCGTCACCGGGCTAGGGTAGTATAATTATGTGGGCTTCGTTCGTGACCGAAAATAAAAACCGTCGGTCACGTTGTCCCATAAATAACCCACCGCTCCTTCACGAGACCCCCTCTAATTGGCGTTGATATATATTGTTTTCGGCGCGGCGTAACGTATAATATTGTATGACGTAATATATATATAAAAGTCCCGTTTAAACTTGTAAATCCCCCGTGCGCCTATTAATTCATAATTCGCTTTCGGCCAACACTACCGCGGGCGGAGTATTAGCAGTCGGAACGGCGAAAGGATTGGAGCTGTGCGTGTGGGATGGGGGTGCGAAGATGACTGGCGACCGGTGCTGGTGGCGAAAAAGACTGCTGCTCCGGGAGGGGGGGGGGGTGCGACGGGATTCTATAACTTTGAATTGATTGCTTGTCACCATCCACGTGATATATCATATTTTGCAGCGTTGACAACCGTAGCATAGGTACCACCTGGGAACAGCCACCACCACGTCCTCTACTCGCAATCGTTTCCGGTCCGATCCATTGCTCATTTATATCTCTGTACGCACACGCATGTGGCCAATAAATATATATTATAATGTATATTATGACGTGCTCGTTTTCCACACAAATAAACGCACCGTCGTTGGTCTCTGCAGAGCCTCCAGAAATCGCGTTAGACCGCGAGTTTTTCTTTGAGTGTGCAGTCGTCAAGTGTGGTTACCGATTTATAACCTTACCTAACCGTGGTCGTGATTTGGTATGTAACGCATACAAAGTGTGTGATATTAATATAATATCTTCACAAAAATGACGTTTTTGAACGCGGATGTGCGAATAATAATATGTCACTCAGGCGTCACGACGATTGATTGGCAACTATGCGTCGTTTTTGACATTCATCCCGACCGCTATAATAATAATAATATGATTGGCCATTTATTGGATGTAGGTATAAGGATCCAGGAAGGTAACCACTATATATCGTCAAGCCACGCAATGGCCACCGAGATTCGATGCGGCGATTTTTTTTTCGTGATGTATTGTGCGGTGTACGATCGTTATTGTGGACATTCAAATTGTTATCGACGATCAGACTGATCAGAGCTGTGTGATATCATAATACGTTACAAAAAAAAACTAATAATACAATCAAAATAAATAAATAATACTATGCCGCGATGGTTAAATAGTTATATCCGTTTCTAGAATCAGCGAAATTCGCGCGGCAGTGTAGAGTAGAAGTAGAATACTGAATATTTAATAGGTTCACCGTTCACCGCACGTATATCTCCCAAATGGACATTTATTTTAATTACTAAAATGAAGTTTATATTTATTATAGTAATTTGATTTCCGTACCAGATAGTTAAATGTAATACATAGTACTTTTCAAACCATAATTATTGTATTGAATTGTAGGTAGTAGGTACCTTCTATTATAGTCAAATGCAATATTATATTTGCTTATATATGTAAATGTTATTGAAATATGTTATACCTATGTATATAATAAATATATTTTAAATAAAACCAATTTTACATGCATTATTTAACCGATTAACACATTGAAACCCTTAAAATATTTGAGTTACTATTTCTGGTGTAACTATTAAGCACTACCTAAATTTTTGAGTAACCTAACTTAATTATATAACTATAAATGAATTTTATGTTCAATCTTGTATTAAATTATCAAGATTGTTCTACAATCTTAAATAACATTTTTATAAGAATATTTTAATTCCCCATATTATATAACTTTCATTTAATTAAAATTTTTTAAAAACCATATAGAATTTAGACAGTATAGGAAATGATAATTTAAGTGATATACTGGAATGTCTCATGTTTTTACAAGTAATAATTTTTGAATTACAACAAAAACAATAAAATTCTTATTTATTGCACGTGAATATACAATTTAGTCAAAAATGAAATTTCAGTTGCTTTCAAAAAATATTTTAGGGGTTTATAATTCTTATAAGCAAACTTATATGGAATCTTGTTCCTATTATATTATATTATATTGTAAGTCCTAAAATAATTATAAAATATGAATATTGAAAATTGCACCTATTATTAACTACAGAATAATTTGTACATTTTCACGATTTCTTCTTTGCAAAGGAAAAATATATATTTCCTAGCATATAGACTTTTAATATATACGATTTTATGTCTGAAATGCATTATTTTTAAACTCATTTCATTTTAAAATTATATACCATTCTAAATTCTATAATAGATAGATATTTTAAAGTTCGAATCATAACTAGAAATCTCTAGATAACTGAYACCTTTATTAATCTCAATTCTCAATAACGATTCGGGGACAACTAAACTAGATAAAATTATAACGACCTAGGTGTAAATAACTTTACACGAAAAAACAAAAATAAAAATAACACTCAAAACTACTCTTTGTAAAATATTATATTATATTATAGATTATTATCAATTGTACTTATGTTCACTGCCTGCTATGTATAATAATTTTTTTTTACTTTGCTTTCTGTTACGTGAAGCGATATAAAGGGTGTTTGTTATGATATACTTTCAAACTGTATATCATGTATATATTATTTCATCAACATTTTCGAAGTACCTAGTTGGTATAACGGACGTGGTTAAAAAAAAATGTTTTCACCGGAAAACCTTAACGAAGTAAAATGTCCGTCAAATGGGTTAGGTGTGATTATATAACTACTAGACGGCACGGCAGCGCATGTTTGTGTCACAAATCATTGTGGACAAGTGAAATGTATCTCTAATTAAGGAAATCATAGTTAAATTTTAATGATTAATGTTTATTGTCAAACGTCAACTGTGTATTGAAGTATTGCCTACAACGTTTATATTTCAAGCTTGTATTTATTTAATTAAATCATATTAGTTTAATAATAAACAAATAATCGGTAACCCCTTGTTCTGAAAAATGTGAATGTATATTCCACAAAAAAAAAATYGATATTTCATCTATAAGTTGTTATTATTAATTTAATTTTTAAGATTATGACGTGTTATATCTTACCAATATTTTAATGTAAT